TTTTTGAGGCAATAGTTGTAATACAAAATGCAAATGTATTTCTTTTCTAAGTTCTATTTAAAGTTCAAGAACGAAATAACTTAAATGAAATATTAATACATGTTATCATGAACATGCAATCTTTTTGATAAAGATGTATGCTTCTTATAATATTGTAGCATATGAATTTAACGGGACCAAATTATGGCATTTGTTTATCAAACATTTAAATAACATGACTTTGTATTCACTATTTTGGAGTTTTAATTGTATACATATATGTAATATTTTCACAAATAATGACTGTTCTATGCCTTAATTAGCTGTGCTGTGTTTAAATAAGATACAATTCTATTTCAGGCATACGTGTAATTTCATACCAAACATGGTCTTGTCTATTATTTGAATTCGACTTATTGAATAATAAACCATGAAGGATAGCAGAAGGAAATATCAACACTGTATTTACTTAATATTTACATTTAACATCAATTAATCTGAATGAAAGTCAATATTCAAATGTTTAAGAAGAAAGTAGCCGAGAAGCGTTGTAAAAACAAATTATCGAAGTCTAGAATATCTAAGATTGTTCTTTTTTAAATACTTATCAAAATGCCAAACATCGAAATAATAAAAATAAAATAAAAAAAGAATTCATACCGGTCTGATGCATAAGGTAAAACATAAGATTGTGTGTTTTTTGTAGCAATTGGTAAAACAAGAACCGGTTGTACCGGGTGATGCTCCCCGAGAAGGTTCTTGACACAGGAAAGTATAAAAAAAATGAACAAAGGGCAAAAATCTCTTAAATTAGGCAAAGCGGAGTTATGTTTTTTGCACTGCACTTCTATCCAATAAGATCTATCTATCTATCTATAAAGTTTCCTGAAGATATCAGAGTTATGTCCCGGGTAAAATTCAAAGTGTAAAAATGAACAAAGGGCAATAACTCCAAAATTAGACCAGGCTTTGTTTAGGTTCTTTAAGCATTGCAGTTCTATCCAATTATGTCTAGCTTCCTACAAAGTTTCATGTTGATATCTCTAATAGTTTTAAAGTTATGTCACGGACTAAAGTCAAAAAGTAAAAATAAACAAAGGGCAATTACTTCAAAATAAGGCAAGGCAGATGAATGATTCTTAAGCACTGCACTTCCACCCAATAATACCTATCTATCTACAAAGTTTCATGTTGATATCTCTTATAATTTTAGAGTAATGTCCCGGACAAAGTTCAAAGTGTCAAAATGAACAAAGGGCAATAACTCCAAAAGTAGGCAAGACAGTGTTACAGTTCTTGTGCACTGCAAACTTACTCAATGAGATCTATCTACCTACAAAGTTTCATGTTGATATCTCTTATACATTTAGAGTTATGTCCCGGACAAAGTTCAAAGTGTAAAAAAACACAAAGAGGGATAGTTCAAAAATAAGGCAAGGCAGAGTTAAGGTTCTTGTTTACTGCACACCTACTCAATGAGATCTATCTACCTACAAAGTTTCATGTTGATACCTATTATAGTTTTAGAGTTATGTCCTGGACAAAGTTCAAAGTGTAAAATAAACAAAGGGGGATAATTCAAAAATAAAGCAAGGCAGAGTTACGGTTCTTGTGCACTGCACACCTACTTAATGAGATCTATCTACCTACAAAGTTTCATGTTGATACCTCTTATACTTTTAGAGTTATGTCCCGGACAAAGTTCAAAGTGTAAAATAAACAAAGGGGGATAATTCAAAAATTAGGCAAGGCAGAGTTACGGTTCTTGTGCACTGCATACCTACTCAATGAGATCTATCTACCTGCAAAGTTTCATGTTGATACCTCTTATACATTTAGAGTTATGTCCGGGACAAACTTCAAAGTGTAAAAATAAACAAAGGGGAATAATTCAAAAATTAGGCAAGGCAGAGTTACGGTTCTTGTGCACTGCACACCTACTCAATGAGATCTATCTACTAACAAAGTTTCATGTTGATACCTCTTGTTGTTTCAAAGTTATGTCCCGGGCAAGAAAAGGGGACGGACGGAAAGACGGACGGACGGTAGGACAAGGCGGCGACTATATGCTCCCCCGAAATTTTTCGGGGAGCATAAAAATTATAGTTTGCTGTTGAACATACGTGTCATTATCTGGACCGATTATTTTGATTGTGTTGGGTTGCTTATGCAATATGATTTCTCTGTATTCTATTTGATATCATTTTCACTTTACTTTCAGAAAACTGTGGTGATAGCTTCGATATTTCTTGAGAAATAAAATGTTCATCAGAAAAGCGTATACCAATAAGTAAGATGTAACCTTTAAAAAAAGAATTGGAATGTTACTAATTGAATAGCTGGAGAAATATTTGCATTAAGAATAAATGTAACAAACTAATTCAATATGTTCCTCGTCAATAACCTCAAATTTTGATTGCCCTTTCCGTAAGAATTCTTTTGATATTACTAAAATCAAACAAGGAGTAGAGTTTACTTACGAATATAGATAACTTGGTCATAGGAAACAATTGTAAATTGTTAAAATCAAAATGTCTACACTATATGTTCATGGAGAGAATGATAAGAAACTTTCGTGTTCAGAGCATAGAAGCACACTTGTTTTGTAAGGCGTTTTCTGACTGAGAAATAATAAATATCTCTTTCTTTTAAGGTCAATATTGCGTGATATTAAAGTGGCCAGCCTTTGCTGAACATTGAATAAAACCATCCTCAAAAATTGCTTATCGTGACAACTTTATAAACATCAAACGTCAAGGTACTAGTCGATTAATCGAATTATTTTCAACAATAAAATACTAACTAAATATAACATACAGCAGAATGTTTAGAAAACTTGCTCGGCCAATTACCTGAAATACATAGACATTTTGTCTTAACATGAAAGTACAACACAAAATACAAATATTAATAAGTATATGAAATGTTTTATGAATTGTAATAGATAAGTTATGAGTACGTAAAACCAGTAATAAAAAGGATTTTATTTTAAATTTTAGGCATTGCTGATGGATCAATTAAGATTAACTCACTTTACCAATCAGATATGAATACTGATCATACAAAATTTGGGATTATGTGTAAATATATTTAAAACATTTGATACCTTGCTTCAAAAGCCTATGGTAATACATGTTACGGGTATATCGTAAAGAGATGCATGTACATTTTATATTCCAGAAGTGCATGCAATATAGTAAAATGTTTAGATAATATTCAGTTTTGCTTAATTTGTTTATTAATTGTTTGATGTGATATAGCAAATAATTTTTGGAGATTGTAAAATGAAAGAATGGATCACTGATATGTGTGATATTTTCTATCTTAGAAATCTGCCAAAAGTACACCATACTACGTCTTACAGTCTTTTTACAGCTGCCACACAGCACTTGACACCTGCTGTTGTGAAGTATAAAAATCTGGAAACAAAGTGATCACAACAAAATTACAAGAGAATTGCAGACTCGGTTTGAAATGTTTTCAGTTCCCTAAGAAAACGTTACGATAATTGGAATGGTTTCCAAGATAGTATGTTGTAATAGTTAAATCCGGAGACATGTCATTATTGAAGTGAATAGGCGTAATTATTTACAAAAAGTAGACATAAAATGACTTTACAGAAAAGATTTGAGTCAAATAAGTAATATTAATGCAATAAGAACTTCAATATATACCATTGATTATAACGACAATTAAGTATTGCAATTTATTTTATGTTGTTGTTTTTGTATCTCTAGTTCAGTCTATGTGACAATAATGGGGACGTCCGAGGCCGACTGGTAAAGGTCGTTGACTTCAAACCACTTGCCCCTCACCGCTGTGGGTTCGAATCCCGACTTGGACTTTGGATTCTTTCATGTCAGTAAGCTATCTAGCTAGCTTATGGAACGTCGGTGGTTCTACTCAGGTGCCTGTTCGTGCCTGAAATAATGCACGGAAGGGCACATGAGGTCGCGATATGACCTATAATGTGTCGTTTGACGTAAAATCCAATTAAACAAACAAACAGAAATATAACAGTAATATTCATGAATTATTTACTCCATGAATTATACTGATACCGTTAAAATAATTATTCATCTATTGAAATGGTCATTTTTAATGTATGCCAAAATGTTTTGGCGAAACGTAAAGTTAATTTAGTGTCCAACTTTATTTGTCCAATGAAAACGCTGTTTTTTAAAAAATAGTGTGTGTTAATTTTCATAGAAGGATAAAAGTCGATACTATATGAAATTCTGTTCATAGTCGTCTTCTATTTTCATAGTGCTTCATAGTAATGCGTTCCTAAAAATAGTCATTTGCATAAATTTGCTCATGCGCTTTCGCGGGGCGTTTTTGAATATTAATTAAGTTGAAATGACGTCAAAAGGTCAACCTGCATTAAATTTGTATTATGGATAAAGGATATACATGCAGTTCAGATTTCACGAAAAATGATAATGCACATGTAAAACCCAACACAAAATGTCAATAAAAATTTCTTTATTACGAATCTAGAAAAAGGCCTTACCTTTAATCTCACGAAATTCCTTATTAATCACATATTAATAAAATAATCTATTAAAACAATTCTTTCAATATCAGATTTACTTTTAAACACTGAATTTGAGAAAATAAATGAAAAGTTAACTGTATGACACTATAAATCCTAGTTACATTGACAAAAACTGTTCAGTGAAATTTACTATACATGATCCTTTTGTAAGATTTATTAAATCTACACCTCAATAATCATTTTCTTTCCGTCTCTTTTCACAATAACTATTTTTTTCACACTAACGGGCACATTTATTACCAGAGCCTCCTCGTCTGTTGTCAGATTGTTATTATTTATGTCAGGCAGTTGCTTTACCGGAACAACATCCTTGTAAGGTACCGTTTCAGATGGAAGTGAAGTCTTCTCTTGTTTTTAGAGGTGGAAAATTAGGCCCAAGAGCATTACTGATGTCATTTAGAATTTCAAACTGCTCTCGTTGATAGGACTGTACCGCATTGCTCTTATGCTTGCTCCTACTCATTTATGCCTTGTCATGGAAATTTTTATTATATAATGTGGTACAAAGTGCAACCCGAGCAGAATGATTACTTATTCCTCTATCCGTCATATCAATGCCTGCTTCTTTATAGAATCTCTTAATCATAGACTTAATAGAATTTTGGGCTATTGCTGCAGCACCAAATTTCGGAGATCCGTTTTCATCTACACTTCCTGTTGGCTTCCTATAGAAAGCACCCACCCGCGGTATCAAGGACAAATATAAGTCATAAAGATTTATAATAGAATATGCCCTGTCTTTCTGCTCGCAATGAATAATGGGCTTAAGAGATGCATTTCGGTTTTCCAGCCCTCCTTGAGAATTTTTACGTAACCCTGGTGTAAATTTAATATAACGCAGGTCCTTGGCACTGTCTTTTAAAATTTCAAACTGATCAGCCTGGCAGCTCACGTGCTCCTGAAAGCCACGAAACCCAAATAATTTCCCATTGTAAAAGAAAACTGCATTGCTTAAACCTACTGCAGTATCAAAGGTAAACACCCCTGATTGCCATAGCTGAATTTCGTCTTCGATTGTCACAGGATCAGCTGCATTTGTTTTTATGCCAATTCCCTGTGCATGGAGTTCTTTCATGCGAGTGTCTAAGCACTTTCTGATATCAATAAACTGTGTTTCTCCTCGAAAGAAGTTAATGTTAGGTCTTTGACACTCTGTATTAAGATAACGTTGCAGACCACTGACAATTTGTGTAAGAGTGTTTGGTGGGTATTCTTTACCGTCTTGCCTTTTTATTCCATGACAAAGCGCTGACCCCAGTAGTTAATCATGTCATCATTTAAAGCACCAACATCTTCAGGAATAGGATGAACACCTTCTATCTGAGTAGACTCCTGACTGTTACGGAACTTAGCCCAGTCTGCCCAGACTCTCAAAGCCCACTTATTAGCATCCCTTGTTTTTTTTCCGGAATACTGTTCATATTACGTTCACGTATCTGTTGTGATGATACTGGAACTCCAAATCTTCTGAAATCTAAAAGAAAGAAATTTTCAGTTTTTTCATATATTCGTTAAACTGTTAATGCATTTGTTTTTCTAAATAAGATGTCAACTACTACAGAAAAAAGTTTAATTGCATAAAATATACAATGAATAACTGAATACTGTTAAAACTCTATAAGTCAAACTCTCTTAACTTGAATGTCCGCTTAAGTCGAACATATTTTCAGTATCAAAGCAAAATTGATTTATTATGACTGAAAATTGACAATGTTTTTGAAATTCGCCTTACCAAGTCGGTCAATGTTATTGTGCTCTGCACTCGTGTCATTGGGACGTGTCTGTGCTTTAATATTCTTTTCTGCAGTTGTAGCAGAAACTGGTGCTTTATCAGCGGTATGTGTATCATTCTTGAGCTCACCAGCAACACCTGCAGACAAAGTAAAATTTGTAACTAAGAGTAATTTTTTGACGTAATATAAAGTGAATATTAATGAGGCCAAATAAAGCTGTTCTACAGAAATTAGAAACATTCTCTAATTTCTGTAGAATAGCACGGATGAACACTTACATACACAAAGATCTCATGTTTAAAATTTATAAAATTTATACGGTGGTCGAGTTCATTATTGATTTCTTATCTACAGTTTATCTGCTATACTAGATAAAATAATTGCAAATTTCACATATTTGACGTATCATTGTCTCTGTGGAAAACATCTAGACAGTGAGTAATGAGATAAATACAGTATGATACAGGCAAAATTTTGAAAAAAGATCATAATGTTGATAAACGTAACCTTCTTGTATTCAATTGTAATTTATCATGACTAACTTCCCTCCATCTTAATATTTGCGTAGCTGTAATTGTACTTTATGCAATGATCAATTTCTTAAAAATATATTTTGCGAAAAATAAAATTTGAAAACTCTGATGTACAGCATGTTGCATAGCTGTTGGTTATATTATAATCAGATGAAGGAAATCCTGATACATGAATGCTGAAAAAATTAAAGTAGTTCTACAAACCGCAAATCCCGTTTTATACATATTTAAAGTATTGTTTAGCATTTATTATTGAATGATTTGAACATTTGAACGGAAAATGTGTTGGATTTGAATATACTACGGTCAATAGTACATTAAGGTAAAAATCAAGAGCAGTATTTGCGTAATTAGAAGAAGCGCAGTGCAAATAATTCAATTTGTTTGCCCTCAATATTTTCTAATTCTGTTTGCCTTTCCCGTATAAGTGTTTTTTCAAGCTCTATGATTAATTAGTTTGTGTTTTCTGCTCAAGAATGAATTTCGTCCTGTAAGTTCAGGGAAAACAGTTAGTACATAACAATCCAAAATAAGACGTTTTATAAAGCTTTTCCTAGCATAAGGAAATAATAAGTGTCTACTTTCCAAACAAAGGAGATTTTCAGAGACAATTTATTCTTGCGTATTAGGATAATGTACTTTTTTTATTTTATAAAGTTGCTTTGACTTTTAAGAACGAACCCTTTAAAATGACAATTACAACAACTAAAAAGTAAAAAAAAACATGTAGAATTATAAACATATCAATGTGGATGTTTCCAAACTAAGCACGGATGTATATAGAAACCAGTAGTTTAGAACAATTATTGAAACACATTAGTTTGCTTTATTTAATTCCAGACTGCTGTACATTTTATTCCCGATTGTTTTTCAAAACAGCTCCGGAATAAGCATTCTTTAGAACTTGTAAAACTTATTAAAATATTTACAGATCATACATTTGTATTTTGACAGTTTGTATACATGTAATTTGATTATTTGACAGTTTGATTTCTGCTTTATTTCAGAATTAAATAATTATGATACTAGGTGCAAGCCGAGTCTGATATAGGTTTTGCAATTGTGTACGTGCCCAATGGAATCATTATTAGTCTCAACAATGACACCATTTTTGACAATTTGACTGTGAAAACTAACAACGAGGCTAGATGGCTTATGGTATGTATTTGATAAAGATAGTTTTGACAATGGAAATGGAAACAAGACTACATGTGTATGGTGTGCGATATGGATTTGATTTGTTGTTGTTTTTTTATTATTTTGAATCTGGAAAAGAAACCAAAGCTAAATTGATAAAATTTAATCCAATAATAATATTTATCTACAAAAACACGTGAACCAAACGGTATACGTTCATCGGCTATATTTTATAGTATAAGGTGTGAAATAAAACACTTGATTATATAAAAATCAAATAAAAGAACTTTAGAAATCTATATCATTTAGTAGGTTGCACAAAAAATCAATTTAACATTTAGTTCTTTTAGATATTTTGTAACTTTGAAAACACTTTATTACCATCAAATAATTCAGGACAGAGCAAAAATGCCCTGTAATTGAACCATGACATTTGTATAACAGAGCTATAATGACAATTATTCATGGATGTACTGTATGTCATCAATTATGTAGATGTTGTCTTGATATTGCAGTAAACATTGCAATAAATTATTAATAAATATGACATTCAGTCTTCTATTAAACTTAATAATTGCAAGCATTATGTGAAGCTTCAGATGAATTGCACTGAAAAAACAATAACATGATCAACAGTATTTTATCAAGGAATTTCCGGAACCAATAAAAAATGACATATTGATTGAGGCAAACTTTGCGATTTAACATAAACATTGTACAAGATGTTGAGCATGTAAAGTGAATTTATCCTTAATGGATTTTTTTGGTTAGATACTGGGTCCGTTATAACATATGTATAAATATGAGATAATAAATTGGTCTTAAGTCTAGTACAAAATATTATTATTCATCAAACTCAATCACTAAGAACTATATAAAAATAGAAACATTTTTTAAAAATATCCAAACGATACATTTTATAGTTTTAATCAATATTTTAAATACTTCATAATTTTATGGAAAAATATGCACATTGTACACTAATCCAATTTGATAGGCAAAATTAGTTCAATTGTTAAATACTGTTATTCCAATTTCCCAGAATATGAAAACAATTGGCTAGTAGTTTTCTTTGTTATTATGTTAAATCTAATTGACTTTGATAAATAAAACAATTATGTTTGACAAAGTCAATGTTAAATCAATTTAAGTAACACTATAATTCATTCATGCATTCTTCATGTGACGGTCTGCTTTCATTAAAGAAGAAGAAGACATAAACACAAACAGGAAATGTTTTTAAAACTTTAACAAATCATTTAGTTTTTAAGGACTTTGCTACTTATCTTTGTTAAAGGGGAAGTTGTTTTTTTGTATTGGACTAATATGCCTCTAAAACATTAATGCAGGGAAACATTCAAAAACAGGGAAACATTCATTCAGCTGTGAAATAAATACATATAATGATGAAGCTTTTTGATAATGATGTATAATTCTTATAATATTGTAGCATATGAATTTACCGGAACAAATCAGGACATTTATCAATCAAACATTTACATAACATGAATTATGCAGGTACAATGTATTCACTATTTTGGAGTTTTTGTTGTATATCTATATGATATATATTCACAAATAATGACTGTTCCACACCTTATATTGCTGTTCTGTGTAAAATGTTCATGACTTTTATAAGATACAATTCTATTTCAGGCATACGTGTAATTTCATGCCAAACAGTTTTGCCTTTCATCTAAATTGGACTTATAGAATAATCAACCATGAAGGATAGCAGAAGAAAATATTAACACTGTATTAACTTTTTTACATTTAACTTCACTCAATCTGAATCAAATGTTTAGAAGACAGAAGCCAAGAAGCGTGGTGAAATCAAGTTATCGACGTCTAGAATATTTAAGAATTTTAAAAAAGATAACTATCTATCAGAAAGCCAAATATGGTAATAAACAAATATCCATGCTGGTCATATGCATTAGGTAACAAACATAAGATGGCGTGTTTCTGGTAGCAATCGGTAAAAAAAATACATTTTGCTGTTGAACATACGTTTCATAGTTTGGAAAGATTATTTTGATTGTGTTGTGTTGCTTTATGCAATATGGTTCCTCTTTTTTCTATTTGATATCATTTTAACTTTCAGAAAACTGTGGTAATACCTTTGATATTTCTTGAGAAATAAAATGTTCATCAGAAAAGTACATACCAATAAGTAAGACGTAACCTTTATAAAGGAATTGTAAATGTTTCTAATTGAATAGCTGGAGAAATATTTGCATTATGAATAAATGTCACAAACTAATTCAATTTGTTCCTCGTCAATAACCTCAAATTTTGATTGCCCTTTCCGTAAGAGTTCTTTTAATATTACTAAAATCAAGCAGGGAGTAGCTCCTACTTACAAATATAAAACTTGATCATTGGAAACAAGATATTGCGTGAGATTAAAGTAGCAAGCCTTTGCCATCATTGAATTATTTCCAACAATAAAATACTATCTTAATGTAACATACATGCAATCTGTTTAGAAAACTTGTTCGGACAATTACCTGAAATACATAGACATTTTGTCTTAACATGAAAGTACAACATTATATACAATATATTAATAGGTATATGAAATGTTTTATGTATTGCAATAGACAAATTGGGTACACGTAAAACCATTTAGAATTTGAAACTCTCAGACTGTAATTAAAAGTTTTTTGTTTTAAATTTAAGGCGTTGCTGGTGGATCAATTAAGATTAACTCACTTTACCTTTCAAATATGAATATTGATCATACAAAATTTGGGTTATGTATAAATATACTTTGATACCTTGCTTCAAAACAGTATGTCCAACAGATAAGAAACCCTCTGATTATACATGTTACGGGTATACCGTAAGGTAATAAATGTTGCATTCCAGAAGTGCATGCAATATAGTAAATGTATTCTTGTTCTCTTTTTTGACTAGATAATGTTCTGTTTTGCTTAAATTGTTCGAGGTGATATAGCAAATAATTTTGGAGATTGTAAAATGAAAGAATGGATATTAGTGTGAATGAAATCTAAAGGTAAAACTATTGTAAGCATTATCACTGATATGTATGATATTTTCTATCTAAGAAATATGTCTAAATTACAAAATGCTATGTCTTAGAAAATAAAGCGTATACTTGTGTCTTTGTAGCGACGGCTTTGTAAAGGTGATATGTAGGCATTATATACTCTAATCCCGTAATATTTAGTTCGGCCTATTTTTTGCCGTTTAAGGTACAAGCTTTCTTTAATTTGGGAATCATACGCCGCTTTACCTCGAATGGCACGAAAGTGTCACACAAAAGGGTTCTATGATAACCCTCATATGAATGCATTTGCGCATGTTTATAAATTCAAATTTTCACGTTTTTTCAGGGATTTTTCTCTATTTTTTTTGGAAGGAATGGTTATGATATAAAGACATATGACAGTTATATTTATCTTGATGTTTCCGAATGCGAGAAAGCAGAATTCTTCTATTTTACCTTAAGCGTGTATATCTACGTATTTAACCAACTGTTCTCTGATTTGTTTTCTGTTCAAACAGCTGCTGCTATGAGTCGAACATGTTTCTAATACACGCATATCTCTTACTTATGAAAGAAAATTATCAAGGTGGCCAGCCCACGTTTATTTTGGGTATCGTAGTCACAACTTTTCACTGGTTTTATTTTACCGATAACTTAACTGTTACTATTACTGTCACAAGAAATCGAATATACCCAATTATATGTATATAATAACATCTGGTAAAATCATTTCATGACAGAAACAATACGTTATGATTGCCTAAAATTCACGGATAATTCAAAATATTATATTGCATTCATCCATGTGATATAATTGAAAAAATAAACATATTTCATAAATTTGGTAACATTGTGTTGTTTTTGTTTTT